GAAGTTCCTCACAAGGACACAACAGAGACTGAGAAAAGTCTGAACTATCATTTATGGGTTTCACTGGGAGCTGGCCCTGTCTCAGCTGAGCCTCGGGGAAGCCCAGCCAGCACAGCCACGACTCCTCGGGTGGCCCCGGGGGCTGCAGGCCTGGTGCTAAAGAGTGTTTCCTTAGGTCAGACCTAGGGTTCTCAGGCCGTTTTTCCATCACTGATTGTTTCAGAGTAGAGTTTGGATCTCAAACCCTGGTGGCATGCGTCGGGTTAATAACTTGCAACTTCTATGCAAGTTCGAATAACCCAGTAAAGTGTATTTTCTGACACTATGATGATGACTTTAGGAAGATGGTTAAAAATAATCAGAACGTTCTGAATTTCCTCTTATCTGCCTTGGAGAACATAATGTCAAGACACTGGAATGGCGGCATGCCTTTTCATGGGAGGGATCTGCCCGTTTTAGGTGGTAGTGACAGGGTTTTCAAGTTAAGACAGCACTTGAGGGTTTTTTCACTTTGTCTTTCTTTTTCTAACCTAAAATAGGTAAAACCTTATTAGCCAAAGCAGTAGCAAACCAAACCTCAGCCACTTTCCTAAGAGTGGTTGGCTCTGAACTTATTCAGAAGTACCTAGGTGATGGGCCCAAACTCGTTCGGGAGTTATTTCGAGTTGCAGAAGAACACGCGCCATCCATCGTGTTTATTGATGAAATTGATGCCATCGGAACAAAAAGGTACATTTTTCTCTTTGTGTCATTTAGAGGTAAAGACCTTGTAGCTCTTGTCTGAGAATGATCACGGAGCACTGCCTGCGTGGCCTGCACATGGGTTTGCCTCGGCTCCTTCTGTACGCGGCTGTGGATGCTTTAGGCTCTGCTCCGGGGTGCCAGGTGACAACCACCCGGGAGTCGTGACCATCTGGAGATTAGTGTGCAGCCATGCCTTGAGTTTCCACTCTGAGCCAGGCATCATCTGCACTCTAGGGACACAGCCATTGTCACAAGGCTTTCCAGGAGCTCATGGTTGGGTCGGGGGCTCAGATACCAAACGTGCAATCTGAATTAATGATGCCATCTCAGGCACAAAACATCTACAGTTTAAGTAAGATTATGTGGTGGTTGGGAGGCTGTGCTGATTTTGTTGCTAGAATTGAGGCATCAGAGGTGTTTTTATAATTCCTCTTCAGCAGATCAGTTCGGTTTTCATCCCTTCTCTTCTTTTTCAAAGATACGATTCAAATTCCGGTGGTGAAAGAGAAATCCAGCGAACAATGTTGGAACTGTTGAACCAGTTGGATGGATTTGATTCAAGGGGTGACGTGAAAGTTATCATGGCCACAAACCGAATAGAAACTTTGGATCCAGCACTTATCAGACCAGGTCAGATTTGCTTTTGTCCCATCACGGAGAATGAGTGTGTTTATATGTGTTCGTGTTTAAGTGCACTTTCAGGGGATTTAAAAGTGATACACATCAAGGCAAATACATTATTGAAGGGTAGAATAACTTCCCAAAAGCTGCGTTCCACTGAGGTAATGGCTAAGAGCATGATGTAGTAGGTGTAGCGTGGCCCTTTTCATCGCAGTCTTAAGTTGTGACCGTTTCTCTTTCCCGTAACGAATATTCTTTTTTCTGAAGAAATAGCTCCTATGGTAGCTCCAGTTAATTTCGCATTCGGGTAGCACCAAAAGCAGCAGTAGCTAGTTTGTGTGTTTCTGAAGGTACCAGAGGAGAGAGGATTTCTTTTAAACGGGATGAATTCAAACGTGGATATTTACAGAGAGCAGTGTTCACTTTTCAAGATTTGGACCCTTCCCACAAGGGAAGTTTCCCTCTGAAACTGCAGGTCTGAGGAGACAGGCTTCCCGAGCCACAGCGGAGCCTGGGGGGAGCCACAGGGGTGTGACTGGAAACCTTTTATACCCGCAGGCCGCATTGACAGGAAAATTGAGTTCCCCCTGCCCGATGAAAAGACCAAGAGGCGCATCTTTCAGATCCACACAAGCAGGATGACGCTGGCCGATGATGTGACCCTGGACGACTTGATCATGGCTAAAGATGACCTCTCTGGGGCCGACATCAAGGTGAGAACCTGGGCTGGACTGTACCTCTTGGTCGTGTGTGTGCGTGAGGACATTTCTTCCCAGATGACCAGAATTAGGGCGAGGCTCGGCAGCACTGAGTGTGCGTCCAGCCTGCTTTGTATGTGAGGACCTGGGTTTCTGTCAGGTAGGGGTAAGTGCCAAGGTCAGGTAGGGACGGCGCGTGTGGGGCCTTTTCATGCCGGTGCCTGCACTGAACTACGTATCGTTGGCATCTGTAGAACTAGGTTAGTGTCTTTGTCGGTAACTTCAATTTAAAGAGAGTTTTTAAATTTTGCACCAACTTTGTATTTTAGAAAATTTGAAGTCTTCAGAAAAGTTGCAACAATAGTAAATGCCCACATACCCATCACCTCAGTTCACCAAGTGTTACCATTTTACCTCTTTGCTTTATCATTCTTTTTTTGCTGAACCATTTGAAATATCCTGAGGGTCACAACCAGATAGAAACTTAGTGCTGAGATTGTGGTTTTATCACATCATGTTGCGTGGGTTGTTTTACTTTTGGCAAGTGTTGCGAGACAATAAATGCAGTAAATGGGGAGATTTCCATTTAGCCAGAACGCATGCTCTCTCCTCAGTGTAGGTAGGTGAACTGGACGTGTGCTCTGTTGCCGCGAAGTTTCCAGGTGTAACGGCATCTGTGGCCCGGGAACGTGGCTCCCTGTAACGACGGTGGGGCGTTGGTAGAGTTTCCCTCCCAAGCCACTCCGCCGGGTAGACCCCGAGCCAGTCCTCCTCAAAGCCACTCATTAGAAGGCTTCAGACATTCACAAGATCTCATCTTTTCCCAAATGGTTGAGGCAGTTTTAGTGTGGGCGTCTTACACCTTATTTCAAAGTAGCTCTCGGAATCATTAGAATACAAAGTATTTCATTTTCTGAACATACTGTTTGTTCTTCCTCACAGGCGATCTGTACAGAAGCTGGTTTGATGGCCTTGAGAGAACGCAGAATGAAAGTAACAAATGAAGACTTCAAAAAATCAAAAGAAAACGTTCTTTATAAAAAACAAGAAGGCACCCCTGAAGGGCTCTACTTGTAGTGACCACATCTGCCTTCAAGGAAACGGGGTGTCCCGACTCCTCCGAGGGATGAGGCTGGGAAGCCGCCCAGAGGAACCCACGTTCCCATTGGTCTTTCTTAGCAAAACCTCCCGTGTCCCTTTTTGAACGCGGTGTGTAGGGTGCCCGCCAGGCTGCCTTCATGTGTTGGCCACGTGCAGTGCTCTCCCCCCAATAAAGTGAGCGCCTCCTCAGTTTGTCCTGTTTCTGGAGCCTCCACGCCAGCCGCTCAGCAGCTGGTCCGGCATTAGGTGGACCAAGGCGTTAGGGAGGCTTCTGGGCGACGGCCAGGAGTGTAGACCTGAACACCTCCTGCCCTGCTCCCCTCCCCAGAGCCGGCGGCAGGGCTGGACAACAGCAGCCACAAAGCCAGCGGTGTCTGCTGTTTAAGCAACAGAGGCCGACTGTGTGGTTCTGGCTTCAGAAGGAAACTCAGCTTTCCCTTCTGGAAGGTCTGTGGAGCATGAGGGTTCTAGCATCCTTTGGGCAGGAAGGTATTGGCGTTGCTAAGCAAGGTTCCCAACAGGAATCTGCCCTGCCTGCTCGTTCTTAGGTTCAGAAACCTAACCCCCCTCAAGGGTTCTCAAAACCTGTTAGAGCTCCCCCTTACCTCTCTTCATCCATTTCCGGCACTTCTCCCCTCTCTTGAACAGTTCAGTCTTGAAGCCGCGAAGGAAGCGGGGCAGATCGAGGCAAGCGTCCACTTGGCTGGCCAGCCACCTTCCTCGGGTGCCCTGACCCGCCGCCCTTCTCCCCAACCAGTGTCCGCTGGTTTCTAGGCAAGATTCTCTTCCACGACACGGGCTTCTCTGGATGAGATGCCAAAGAAATACAACTTCAGCCATTCTAGAGCTCAGGATAGAGTCAGCAGCTGTCCGCATTTCTCTTAGAGCAGGACCTCAGGGAAGGTAGAGCAATTTCCTCCCAGTTCAGTGTCCTTAATAATGACTACAAGGCGTGTCCTTTTCAGAAGAAAGTGGTCTGAATGTGGATATTTACGTTTCGTTCCATTCATACCCTCAGAAATCAAAACAAGAATGTGGCCTGGCAGGTCTGGGTCTGGGCCTCTGTGTCACAGCCCCCAGGCAGGGGTGGGTTTGGTGGGAAGGCGCTGGCTCCACTCTGCACTTCTCAGATGGCCGCCTGCACACTCCCCTGCCGCAGGGGTCCTTTGGGCAGTGCCCCCCACACTTGGTGCACCTAAGTCCCCAGGGGGTCCTGTTCAAGTGCAGGCCCTGACTCAGAAGGGCTGAGGTGGGCCCGGAGGCTGCATCTCTAACAAGCCCCCAGGTGATGCTCCTGGTCCACAGAAGGGAGGTGGCATCAAGAGCCTAGCAAATAATGAGAAACTTTTAAAATGGGAGCGAGGCCAGAACACCAAGTTTTAAACGGCTCTTAAGGGCAAAAGCTGCTCTCCTCACCAGCTGCGGGGAGAGGTCCGATTGCTCAGAAACCAGACCTTTCCTACCACGACGGCAGGACCACCAAGGGTGCCAGTGGGGAACGTTCACGGCCGGGCAGAGGAGTGGAACAGACCTCCCGCACACCAGCCACGACGGGTTTAGTTTTCACTTGGCAGGATTGTTCCCTACGTACACACGTTCACATATACAATATGTAAACAATGGTTTTGTGTCCTTCACACATCCAAACAATGTGCAAGAGGTAAAAGACTGATAACCCAGACCCAAATTACTAAGAATTAAGAAACCTGAAAAGCGGAGGTCTCGTGACACATGCTCACACACATGCGTCCCCGTCCTGCGCATCCCGGCTCCGGTGGGGGGGTCGGGGGCGGGGCAGGTGAGAGGCCCGGAAGGCAGGGCCCATTCTCTCCTGGTCTAGTCCTCCAGCAGAAGCGCCAGCTCCTCGACGGGCAGGCGCACCCGGAGCTCCTTCTCCGTCATCAGGTCCAGGACCTCTTGCATCTCTTCGGGGAAGTGCTCCACAGCATCCAGGTACAGCACCTAGGGCCAGGGGTCCAGCGCTAGCCAGCTGCCCCCACGCCGCCCCCCACAGCCTGCGCTCCCCTTCGGCCTCACTGGGCAGGACGCCCGACTCATAGAAGTGGGATGGAAGGGGTGAACTCCAGCAAAGCCTTCTCTTCCTGAAGTGGGGTCAGGACTAGGTGGACATCTCTGTCCCCGTGTTTGACACCTCCTGACCGGGCTTTGGGACACAGACCCCAATGCTTTCAGCATCTGGGCTGAGCTTTGGGCAAATGACAGACCCCCTTGCCCACAGCAACGCGCAAGGAAAGGAAACAATCAATCGCCCATCCGCTGAGGCTCCACGGGGGACAGCTGCACGATGAAAGCGTCTGGCATGGGCCCTGTCCACAAGGACACGGGAGAGGGGCGGGCACCGAGGCTTGGCGGGAAGGTCCCTGGGAATGTGCGGATCTCGGGGGCTCTGGAACTTACCTTCGCCCAGGGACAATTCTGAAGTGCTTTGTAGAACACGCCTTTGCTCCTTTCTTTGTCTCCTAAGGAAACCTGAGGCAGGGGGCAAATCACAGAAATGATTACTTGAAGCAGAGAGTCTAGGGCTACAGAAACTACCCTGTACTAATCCACCTGGGGGCTCGGCTGCAGTGGGCCAGCCCGTGGGGAAGGGCTGGTACCGCCACCATGGTGTGTGTTCGGTGACCCGCGGCACCAGGATGGGACAAGCACAGAACTGTAGAGGACACGGCTGGTGGAGGAGCAGAGGGCAGGGGTGTGGTGCTCGGGTGGATCCGGGATTCCGACGGTCCCTCCGGAGGCTTACGTACTCAGCACCAGCGCGGTGAACCAAAAAGGCTCTCGTACATGCTGGCCTCTCAGTGCGTTCTAACTTCTGCTAGCAGTCAATGGGAAAGAAGAAATGGCAGCGGAGGGTAAAATGCAATCCGGTGACCACCGGCTTGGGTGCCCCTGCTCCCTTTTCTGTTAGTAAGACTGACTTCATCGAGCCCACGGCACCAGCGGACCGCTTTATACACTCTAGTTTCTTTCCCGATTGTGCAGGTACATGATCAAAACACCCAAAGAATCTTGAAAATGATGGCAATTTCGGGGCGCCTGGCTGGCTAAGTCGATGGCGTGTGCGTCTCTTGATCTTGGGGCTGTGAGTTTGAGCACCATGTTGGGAGTAGAATTCACTTAAAAATTTTTAAAAAAGAACGAGGGGTGCCTGGGTGGCTCAGTTGGTTAAGTGTCTGACTTCAGCTCAGGTCTTGATCTCCCACAGTTTGTGAATTCAAGTCCTACGTCAGGCTCTGCATGCTCAATACAGAGCCTGCTTGGGATTCTCTATCCCTCCCCAACTTGTGCTCCCTCGCTCTCTCCAAATAAATGGATAAACTTAAAAAAAAAAATTAAAAAAAAAAAACAAACTGTAATTTTAGCCAAAACAACAAGGTTCAGTGGGAAAGCGCTGGTTACTGTGTAGGGAGAACAGCACATTTGGAAGCGCCCCCCAAACAGGTTTTAACCTAAGTCCAAACCTCAGTGGGAAAAGTTAACTGTTTCCCCAATTCCTTTCTTCTCCCATACTCGCCACGGCCAACAACAAACTGTAATTCTTTCCATCGTTCTCCCAAAGAAAATAAGGGAGTAAATCTGCACGTGCGCACACGCACCCGGAAAGGCACAAAGACACAACCAGCCAAAGCACCAGCCCTCCTTATGGAGCCGGCTCCCTTCAGCCTCTCCCTGCACACGCGGCCTGCACCCCAGCATTCTAGCCCTATTCTGATTTTTCTCCCGGGTTATCAGAGCCCTGGGAACCTACCTGGATGCCTCAGGAGCTGTGAGAAGTCCTGCTCTAACTCGGCTCTAACTCCCCCTCAGTCCAGTGCTAACCTTTCCAGAAGGAGAAATCCCACAAGGGCCCCCATTGTTTTCTCCCAAGTCAACAAGAGTTTTTTTGTCCAAAATCCGAATCTGGCTCATGGAAGATCTTTGTAAAAAATACACCCGGTCCACCTCGCACCACCCATCTCTACCGACCAAGACGGGAGACGTTAGAACTGGCAGACGCGTGAGCCATCGCTTCTTACGCTTCAAGGTCTTTCACTTGCTGACCAAGGCTCGCGTGGTAACGGCGCTGGAAATGTTAGGGAGCGTCTCCTCTCCTTCGGCTGAGTGGCTCCTGTGGCTCCACCCACGGGAGCGGAGGTGCGCCTGGAACCCGTTCTGGCCGCTGCCTTGGCTGCACCCCCGGTTAACAGGCCGCCACCATGAGTGCGCCGTGAACACCACACCAGCACCTGGACTTCTGGAGGTTTCCACGTCACACACGGGCGTCAAAATACCGAATCTGAGCTCTGGGGTTTTTTAAATGTCACAAAACACACAAACTTTTGCGGTAATTCATCTTGATGCCGACTTCCGCCCACAAGGAAGTGCCTATTTGTCCCCGGTGGGCCACTAGGCGGCTGTCCCGGGATCACGCGTCCTCCCTGCCACTCGGGCCTTTCAGAGGTTGGTGGGGAGAGGGGGGCACACCCACATGAATTCTGAGATCTGCGAAGATGGGGGGAGGCCCAGAGCTCTCCTAATCCGTAACTTACGTGCTCTTTACACCCGACTCTGTCCTATGTCAAGCGGAAAAGTCCACAAACTTTGTCTTAAGTTACCCAGTGGAAACAGAGATAAGGAAGATCACTCCTGCTTCTGAAAGCTATGACGTTCGTTACAGATCACTTGGTTTAGTAGCCTTCAGCTCAAACACTGAAGTGGCCTAGAAGCCTAGGTTTCTAAACAGCTATGCAACGTGGCAGTAGACGTGTTGTGGCAAATGAGGCCTGTTCCGAGGCCAGGTCCCGAACCAAAGGCAAAGTTGACTCACAGACGCTTGAAGCCCAGGACCCACCCAGCAGCCCCCACACGCACAGCAACAAAATTAAAGGGCACTGCACCATGTTCAATCACCACGGTACTTTTCAGTGAGACAAAGCTTCTCTGGAGAGGTCGTTGTAAAAGCGACAGTCTAGGGTGACTCTTACCTTTAACGACAGAACAGAATCAGGATCTGGGAACTCTTATGAACAGATGGCAAAGAACTAAGGTCTCTTTCCAATGAAAGCTCAGACCACTTCCAAGTTGCTGACTCAACAAAGTCAACTCCAAGAGATCCACAACCCGCGACCTCTTGCCCAGTCCTGAGACACCGGACGTGAGTCACCGGGGTTCCCATGAGGATTAAGCGAGGCCACGGAGGCATGAGGGCAAAAGCAAGCCCCTGCCAGCTTTGCCAGGAGGTGGCGACCGGACGCCTCTAACTTCTCACTTGTGACGAAGCAAAGCTCGGCATAAAAACAAAAACTCTACATATTTTCTTACCAAAAAATTCAGGTACATCCTCCACAGTAAGGGGCACTGGCTGCCGTTGTCGCTCCGCAACGCATTTTCAAACAGGGCTCTGATGCGATGTGTCAAGCCGGTCTCGGGAATTGTGGCGTGGACCTCTCTACCATCTACCCTGCAAGACACAGGCTCACGTAACTCCGAGGCCACTTCTCGCACCCACGGCGCCACAGGAAGAAGAGGTACGTTAGTGACGGCAGACAGCAGCATCGGCAGGACCAGAGTGTGTCAGGGATGGTGCTGTCCCAGGTGTGGGGGCGCTAGGGGTGCAGAGTACAGACATGATGTGGCCCCTCCGAGGCCAGAGGAAGGCAGCGTCCAGGGTTGTGTGTTTTCTACACCAGAGTCTGCCTAGACATCACCCGCAAACTCCTTGCTCTCTGTTTTCTAAAGAAAGCCTACCCTCTGATCAGCGGAATGCAAATTCTACCTTATGGGGAGGAAAGTCCTTTCCATTTAAGGAAAATAGAGTGACCAAAATCCCAACGGAAGAAATAAAAAACGAAGTGAAACACTGTTCAGAGGCAACTCTGAGTAGCCAGCTTCTACGAGGTCAGGGTGAAGCGACAGCAAAGATCTGGAAGGAACAATAATGCCTAAGCTAAGGTGTCCCCAAGACCACCGCCCGACCTTCAGACACAAACACTGTATCAAGAGGTAACAGTTAAGCCTGATAGTATTACCATCTGGAACAACAACAGAGACTGGTAATTCTTTCCTGCTCCCTCTGGACTCAGCACTCACCTCAGCGGCCCCTCCGAGCAGCCCTAAGAGGCAGGCTCTCAACTGTTCCCACGTTACAAAAGGGGAGCCCGTTACAGGTGACTGGACTTGCCCAAGGCCACACGGCTGGTAAGTGGAGGAATTGGGATCTGGATCCAGAGTCCTACTCCAGGCCCGGGCTCTTGGTCCATGTGCTCTTAGCACAGCTCCTCGGACAGCCAAAAGCCTGACCGTCACCGCCCACACGCCATAAGCAAGGTTCAGGATCCCAAAAAGCACGGCCTAGGGAGGCAGCCACGAAGGCCCCTAATGAAAGCTGTGGCCACTTGCAAGGCTCTTACTCCTCTTTCCACAGGTCATCCGCCATCACCCAGAACATCCACGGCGGGCGCTCCAGCCCCGGCCCATACTCACTTCCGGATCCCTGGGGCCCAGCAGGGCAGTGGGGACCCGGCAGGCGTGCCCCAAAGGTCTGTGGACACATGAACAAGATGTCCGTACTCACCTCTGAACACTTTCCACCAGTCTCTTCCTCATTTTCTCGGCCTCGATCGCAAACAACCAAGGCTCCAAGAGTTTGGTAGACCTGGTGACCGCGTCGAAAAATCTTCTGGTCTCACTGGCTGTGTGGGACCTGCTCTGAATCTGCACGTATGCCCGCCAAAGCACCTGGTTGCCTGGGTACAACCTTAACGCCTCGGAGAGAGCCTGTCGCAGAGGAGCCAGGGGGTAAAGGCTGACTTTCGTGTGGAACCTGAGCAGGCTCGTGTGCATCAGCGTCACGGCCTCCAGCACGCCGTGGGGGCCCTGGGCGCGGGCACCGTCCTCCGGGCCGGAGCCCCCTGGGGGAACAGAGCCCTTCAGTTTTGCGAGCACCTGCTCGTACACCCGCACGGCCGCGTCGATCCCTACGGTCAAGTACTGAAAGAGCATGAAGCATTTCACCAGGCTAGTCAGGCGGTCGAAGGAGTCGCTGGGAGCCGGAGCGGACACACAGCTGTCGCCCAAACAGTCCTGCAGCGCGTGTTCGTACGCCTTCCGAGCTTTCAAGATGTGAACGGCCAGCGCCTGCCCGGAGTAGGGCCCGCAGGGCCCCTGCTCCGTCAGCCTGGTCAGTACGTGAACGGCTCGTGCCGTGGCGGCCCCTCTCGGGTCCGGCAACAGCTCCGCCTCCAGCCCGGCGTAGAGGAGGCCGAGCTCACACAGCTCACGGTCCCTCAGGTCTCTGCCCCCCGCCATGCTGAGCGCCGCATCGAACACCTTCCTGGCGTCCTCGGTGTTGCCAAGCAGCCACTCCAGATGTGCGTACTGCTTCCAGAGGCAAAAACTGTTGCGGTTTTCTGGCTCCTTCAGGAGATTTTTGGCTAGTTTCTTGCAGTTCTTTCCCTGTGACTTTAGCCTCTTCTTGTTTTTAGTGTGCAGACACCAAATGACCTAGAAGTAAAAAGAAAAGGACTCCCGAGTGCCCTGGGATTTTACGGCAACCCCCCTGTACCGTCAGTGTTAGAAAGCCACACAGGTGTCGACACTTCCCGCCTTTCTCACATGTTTGGTAAACCCTGAGGCTCCCTGAGCTGGGAAACAATTCAGGATTGTACCGAGGCCACAGGCGCCCCCACACGACTGCATCCAAACCTCTATAAACAAGGCTCGTACACCCCGAGTAGTCTCCTCCCATGAGAGGTGGCCACCACATCTTATCAGACAGATACAACCTGGTGTGTGGATGGGCAGCTCAGGCGTCAGAACCGTGGGTGTTAAGATTCACCACTGACTGGTGACCGGCAGAGGGCAGAAGAGCTCACCCTAGACAAATTTCTAGCAAACGGATATGAGGAGCAGGGTCAAGTAGCGTATTTTATCTATTTTAATAAACCCCGAAATCCTCTAACCCCTGCTTACGCTTAGGCCTGGCTGTTCACACTAACTGCTCCTATAATCCCAGACATCTGGCAGCAGAAGTGCAAACACAAACGGCCCCAGTCACTGGCAAGCTGCACCCTCCTTCCTCCTACCCACCCCCGCGGCCCCTCAGCAGGGGCAGCCACACACCAGGGGCCTCTGGGGTCCCTGAACAAGGAGGTGGTGTGGCCCAGTGCTCCGAGGAACACCAAGAGCCCCGTGATCATGTACGAAGCCCCCACGTGGGGTGGAGGAGGCCAGAGTTACCTTCTCGATCTCGTACCGTAACCAGGAGAAGCAGAGCTGAGACCTCTCCCGGCCTGAAAACAAAGGCATCACAAGGTGAAAGATGTTGCGGATGAACTCCTCGCCCTCTCGATTGTGACCCCGGGTCCAGCGCTGGCGGCCCAATGGGTCTGAGCAGCCAACGCAGCTGACACCGGAAGAGGAAAGGTTGAGAAAAGTCAGTGGCATTTCGTCATGAAGCCCGTCATCGAAGATGCTGTTCTCATCCATGGCCAGGTAGAGGCAGGAGGCTGGAGGGCTGAGGCCAGAAGGCACGCCCAGGAACTGCAGAAAGGCCGCAACCAGCTGAAACTGAAGATCCTGGCTGGAAAGACGGATCATAGACTGGGCAATGTCATCAAACAGCACCTGCAAGAGAGACGAGATGAAGGGGCCTGCTCGGGAGCTTGGTTTGTCTACTGTGACAAACAGGGCTTCATGACTTTCCCCACAGCTCTTTTTACGTCGATGTGCTAATGACTCGATATTATTCAAATTAAATTTTAAACGGACAAGAGCTAGGTTTCCTGAAAGATACAAAAAAGTCAGAGGCCTCACAGGGCTCCAGAGAGCTGGAGGGAACTGCTGGCAGGCTTAAGCCAAAACCTTCCAAAGGAGCCTAATGGATTCACAGAAAATCTAGAATCATACTCACTTCTGAAAGCACACATATTTGCTTTTGTGGTTACTCTAGGTTAACGATAGTTAACACTGTTTATTGAGATAGAAAATAATTTTATTATTTGGTGATTTCCTTGTACAAAATTGTTTTCGGAAATGAAAACTATGCCCAAAAGGAGATAAAAAGTAGCAAGGCAGGAAGGAAAGGCAGCAGCCATGGACCACGAGGTAAGAGCAATTAGAAGAGAGAACGCTAGGGGCGCCTGGGTGGCGCAGTCGGTTAAGCGTCCGACTTCAGCCAGGTCACGATCTCGCGCTCCGTGAGTTCGAGCCCCGCATCAGGCTCTGGGCTGATGGCTCCGAGCCTGGAGCCTGTTTCCGATTCTGTGTCTCCCTCTCTCTCTGCTCCTCCCCCGTTCATGCTCTGTCTCTCTCTGTCCCAAAAATAAATAAAAGCGTTGAAAAAAAAAAAAATTTAAAAAAAAAAAATAAAAAAAAGAAGAGAGAACGCTAACTGCAAATGTCCACAGATGATTTCATGCAGTAACTTGAAAAGGTAAGGCCACGGAGACCAGCCTTTGTCTGAGGGCGCTGCTGACCTGCTTGGTCCCTGTGGTTCTCAGCAAAGAGGAAAGCAAAGCACGAGCTTAATAAAACTGGACGCCCTGGGGTTCTACTCGTCAGAACCGTCAGTTAATCAGAAAGCTGTTCTACTCCAGGCTCTGATTGGAGGAAAAGCTAAGGGACAAGGAACGGCTCACAGCAGCAGTTTGGTCCAGAGACGAACTTCCAGAAAATGGCTGGAATTCTGAGCCTTGAGAACGAACTTCTGGAAGGGTGACCCTGAGCGCCATAAAACCCAAACACCAAGACCTTACTCCTCCCGACACAATCAGCTTTGGCCGGAAAAGGGACTCGCCTGGCGATGGGCCATTCACCAAACATCCGAGAGTGGAGTGGAGGTTTCCCTGAAGTCAGCCCCTCCTTCCTGCGCAGAGCTCCCCACTTTCCTGATCCTAACTGCAGTCTGGCCACCCCATTCGCCACACCCCAAACATTCCAGGCACCCATGCTGACTCCTCTGCCTGGAGCAGATCCGGCTTCAAATATTCACTCACCATCCTGGAACATTAGCTGAGCACTCGCCCCAAGAAAAGCACCGTCCACGCACTGTGACCCGGCAGCAGGCAAAAATCCCCACCCTCAAGGCAGGTAGGTTGTGAGGGTCACAGACCACAAACCAGGCCGAAGCCAACAAGCCTCGCCACTGCAAACACCCCCCGCCCCCTGGTCTGTACCTAGAACATGCTGTGAGCCGCGCAGTATAGTTGGTGTCTTACGAAACTGGGTCAGTTTCAGGTCTCAAAATAGAATCTCTTCCTTTAATGTAAATCGTCAGAGCTGCTGGTCACTAGACACAGCGCAGCACAGACCAAGGCATTCGATGATAGTGAGATAATGTGAGACGTAAGTCAAGGAGTCGGTAAGTCAAGACGTAACCCAGGACTCGGTAAATGCTACTTCCCTCCCCAGCAAGACAAGCGGTACACTGACTGTCCCGACACGGCCTCTCCATCCAGGTCCTCTTGTCTTCTGGAATCAAACCTATCGGCTGTACCTCTGAGGATCCCAGAGTGCTGCGGGGAAAGTGGACGCGGTTAAAGAATCTAGGACGGCGATACCACGTTTTAAAACCCTGAGTCCTCAGGCTTCTGTGTGAAAAAGTAACTGAATAACCTGGAAGACAATCTCCGGGGAAGCCTGCCCTCCTTACCTGGGGACAGGAACTACCTGGTCAAGTTCCTCCAAGCTCCCACGCCACCAGTGGCCCAGGAGGTTCCCACAGACAGAAACAGGAGCAAAAGCTAACATCTCCCAAGCCAGGCGAGTGCTCAGACAGTGAGCTCAGCAAGCTTCTTTCAGGTGACCAGACCCCAGGGGAACGGGGAGAAGGCAGAGACCCCAAGGCCGGCCTCCCTCCTGGGCCGGGGGACCTGCCTGTCTCTCTGGATCCTCACAGTCTTCCTCGGTTTGCTTCTTGGTCTTATCAGGGCGCCACGGCCGCCAGTGCCTCTGGTCTCGGGACCGCTCGGTGGCAAGCCAGATCTGCCACCTGGGCAGACTCTTCTCTCTTATTTCCTGGTCCTCGTCTTCTGGCTCATCATCATCATCATCTAGACAAGAACGGGACTTTTAGCCCCCCTCACCAGCCACGGACACCCAACCGCTCTGCTACGCCAGCTGCTGTGGGGGGCCCTGGAATGCCATGATGAGTAAGACCCAGGCCCAGCCTTCTGGGACACTCAGGGACTCAGAGGCACCGAGGGACTCTGCTATCATCCATCAAATCCCCAAAACTCCCTGGAAGATTAACCAATGAAATCACATGATTTTTAATGCTATCACAGCAATTAAAATGGGAATACGCACATTATAGAACGGCACTGCCCAAGAGGACTTTCTGTGATAATGACATAATATGTACCCATGTGTCTAATACGGTAGCAACCAGCCACGTGACTTACTGGGCCCCTGAAATGTAGCTGATACCAGAACTAAATTTTTTATTTCATTTTAATTAAAATGGCCACATGTGGGGGCGCCTGGGTGGCTCAGTCGGTTATGTGTCTGGAACCGTCTGGCTCTTGGTTTTGGTTCAGGTCATGATCTCACGGTTCATGGGTTTGAGCCCTACATCAGGCTCTACCACTGACAGCGTGGAACCTGCCTGGGCTTCTCCCTTTCCCCACTCTCTCTCTCTCTGCCCCTTCCCTGCTCGCTCGCTCTCTCTCAGAATAAATAAACTTAAAATAAAATAAAATGGTCATATGTGGCTAGTGCCTACGTATTTGGACAACACAGTTCTAGAACGCTAAATGATAGTTAATGACAGCACTGGTTCAGCCTTTCTAAAGCCACCAGAATTTTCAGCCAGTGGCCTTATGACTACAACTGGTGTCCACTTCTCAAAAAAAGGTAATTCAAGATTATCCTGTACTTTCATTTTGTTTCCTAATTCTGAACATGCAGAATGGAAGAGGAGAAAAGTTCAATATTTAAAAATAAACAAACAGGATATATACATGGGTACAGCCACTCAGAAAACAGTTGGCAGTTTCTTATAAAACTAGACATGCACTTATTCAAAGACCTGGCAACTACAGTCTTTGGTGCTGATCCCAGAAAAATGAAAACCTACGTACACACTAACACCTGCACACTAACACCCACGGCAGCTTTATCCATAGTGGCCAAGCCCTGCAAACACTCCAAATGTCCCGCAGTAGTTGGTGAAACGAGCTGATTCGTCTACACCTACTATTCACAGTAAATGTGAATACACTATGGACGCGTCCAACAATTCAGACGGATCTCAGGGGAATGATGCTAGGTGAAAAAAAAAGTCAATCTTAAGAAGTCACACAGAACACAAATGTTGGTGAGGATGTGAAGAAACTGGAACCCTTGTGCACAGGTTGGGGAGAACAGAAGATGGTACAGTGCTCTGGAGAACAACATAGCGGTGCCTCGGAGAAGTTTTTAAAACTACCACATGATCCAGCATTGCCACTTCTGGGCACACGTGCAGAAGAACTCTAAGCAGGTTCTCAGAGACATGTGTACTCCATGTTCACAGCTGCAAAAGGTGAAGCAACCCAAGTGTCCGTGGACAGGTGAACGGATAAATAAAATGTGGATGCCATTCAGACTTAAAAAGGGGGTACTGAGGGCCGCCTGGGTGGCTCAGTCGGTTGAGCATCTGACTTCAGCTCCGGTCATGATCTCACGGTTTGTGAGTTCGAGCCCCTCATCAGTCTCTGTGCTGACAGCTCTGAGCCTGGAGCCTGCTTTGAGTTCGGTGTCTCCCTCTCTCTCTGCCCCTCCCTGCTCATGTCTTGTCTCTCTCTCAAAAACAAACAGTAAAAAAAATTTTAATTAAAAAAAAAAAAGGAGGTACTAACACATGCTACACGTTGGACAAACCTGGAAGACATTATGCTAAGTGGAATAAGCCAGTCACAACACAACAAGTACTGTCTGATCCCACTTATCTGAGGTTCTTAAAATAGTCAAATTCAGAGACAGGAAGTAGCATGGTGGCCGTCAGCCGGGGTGGGGTAGGGTGGGGAGAGGAATGGGGAGTTACTGCCTAATGGGTACAGAGTGCCAGCTGGGCAAGATGAGGAGGTTGAGGAGATGGACAGAGGTGAAGACAGTTGCACAAGAGTGTGCACGTAGTTAATGCCACTGAGCCATATATTTTAAAATGCTTTTTAAGTGGTAAATTTTGTGTGTATTTTACAACAGGAAATTGTTTTAAAAAGTCACACGCCCTATGATTCCACGTATCTAACGTGTAAAATAACGTGACAACATAATAACAGGGGTGGAGGGCAGATCAGTGGTCCTCTGCGGTGGGCGTGGGGGCGGACATGGCTATCAGGCACAGCATCAGGGAGCCCGGTGGTGACGAATCGTTCTCCGACAACGGGGGTGGTTACAGGAAGCCATGCCTGCGATTAGGCTGCACAGCACCAAACACGCAAGCAAATGAGAGCTCGTCAAGCCATGAGATGCGGGGGTGCGCACGCACACTCACACACGCACGCACGCGCACACAGGGGACCGCCCCAGGGTCACTTCCAGGCTGTGCGACTGCACAGTCGCTGGTGGGCCCTGGGGCGGGGGGAGGGGGCACAAAACCTCCCTGTGTATTTTCCAACTTCCTGTGAATCTCTATTTCAAAATAAATGAGTAACAAGAACTCCAGAGAATTTAAAGGCATGATGTGTACATTAGCATTTTAAAGTTTATTTATTTATTCTGAGAGAAAGAGTGCGAGTGGAGGATGGGGAGAGAGAGAGAAAGAGAGAGAATCCCAAACAGGCTCTACACTATCAGCACAGAGCCCAATGTGGGGCTTGAACTCACAAACCATGAGATCATGACCTGAGCCCAAGTCAGGTGCTCAACCAACTAAGCCACCCAGGCGCCCTATACATTTGCATTTTAAACTCAATATTCTATCTATGGCTCAGTCGGCTGAGCGTCCGACTTTGGCTCAGGTCATGATCTCACAGTTTGTGGGTTCGAGCCCCGCATTGGGCTCTGTGCTGACGGCTCGGAGCCCTGGAGCCTGCTTGGGATTCTGCGTCTCCCTCCCTCTCTGTCCCTCCCCCACTCATGCTGTCTCTCAGAAATAAAAATGTTTAAAAAAATTTTTTAATAAATAAAATAAACTCAATATTCTATCTAAACACTCTTCTGAGTTATCAAAGAAAGGTAAAATTTAACTATTTATCACCTTCTTCTAAAGACTTACATTTAAGGTAACCCTTTAACCACACTGAAAACCTCTCACCATTAAGAGAAATCACCTGTGAGTCACACATCAGACTTAGATACCTGAACTTATTACATTAGAAATTCAAAAGATTACATGGTTTTGGAAAGACATATATAAATATGTAACAACACAGACTAACAGAAAGTGAGGGTGAGAGAGAAGAAATAAGCTGTGATGTATGAAGAAAAAACACCTCAGAATCAATGATAAATACCAACTACACTCTAAATGCTGACCTTGTCAAGATGGACAAGAAAACTTAAAAATAAAGCAAAAACAAAGAATAGTTATCATTTCATTTTTCTGGAAACAAGAAACGGTCAGCCTTTCTTCTGATCCTGTTGGTTTTCTGGAAGGATCCCACTAAATTCATTTAACTCAATAGAAGATTCTCCATAACGGAAACGCCAACTTATGTCCGTAACTTGACATTAAAAATCAGGGTTTTACCACTTGCATTACCTTTCTGGGAAAACAAACTTCACATCTGATTATGAGTAACTATTGGACCTTTGAGCACCTTTCAGAGAAGTAATGTTAACTTGGTCCCTGGACACTGCTATGAGAATTCTACTTTCTTCTCACAGAACATGGTAAACCTTAGAACATAAATTCCATGCACTTTAAGAGTCTTGCCCATTAAAACAAAAACAAAAAAGCAGCCGAAACACAGAGAGGCATGCTGAGCTGGTAACTCAAAGAGAAGTTACCACCAGAAAGACTTCCATTTTCTGGTCCTTCATGGGTCTTGCAGACTCACTGGCTTAAGAGGGTAATACCTACAAACATTTTGCCCTGCAGGTCATTTTTCTTCATATAGGAACCCCTGGTGAGCCTGAAGAAGGTTTCCAGTTCTCTTTGGGAATAACACTCCGGGAGAGTCAAAATAGCTGAGCCAAGCGAGTGTGACCTTCCCTGTGCCCCAGCAAAGCTGCTCCGGGCACCTGAAGGGCCAGACAGGCCGCCCAGCCTGGAGCGCTGCACAGCCACACTGACCACGGCTAATCCAGAGTTTTCGTTCCTCAGGTGAAGAAGCCATGGCCAGAAGGGTGACGTGTGTGAGGAGGGGCCCCCTTGCACTTTCAACAAAACCAGGGTGTGAAATCCCAAGGAGCTGAGAGCTGCACTGGCCAGTACGACAGCCGTGCACATGCGGCTACGGGGCCCTTGGAAGTGGCAAGTCTGAACTGAAATGTGCTAGAAAGTGTAAGATACACACCAGACTTCAAAGAGCTTGTATGAAAAAAAAAATGCAAACTATCCCAATGTTTAAATTATTAGTTACATGTTGAAATATTAAGGTTTTGACACACTGGGTTAAACAAAATATATTCCCATTAATTTCACCATTTTACCTTTTTATTATTATTTTTAGTTTTTTATGTTTATTTATTTATTTTTTTGAGAGAGGGGGAGGGAGAGAGAAATCCCAAGCAGGCTTCGCACTGTCAGCATGGAGCCCGATGAAGGGCTCAAACCCACGAAACCATGAGGCCATGACCTGAGCCGAAAGCAAAAGTTGGACGCTTAACCGACTGAGCCACCCAGGCGCCCCACCATTTTACATTTTCAATGTGGCTCCTAGAAAATGTAAAGTTATTTTTGTGGCTCGAATTATGTTTTCTATTGGACAGTGGTGTCTTAGGGTGTAAATCTGGAACGTGCTTTGGGGTCACTTAGAATGAGTTACACAAATGCTGGTTAATATTTCACAGTATTCCTAAACAGGCAAGTGTTTGTCAAAGGATTTGTTGGTCTGTCCACTGCCAAGGAAAGAGAAAGACTGACTTAAGTACACACTAAATGGGGCAGGGAGAGGGGGGATTAGTAACAAGATTACTTCTTCAGGAGCAACCTTATAAAAGGAAAAATGAAAATTACTGCCCTTGGAAAGAAACTCGAACCCTCCAAAGGCCTGGGGGGTTGAGTGAAAGACCCTAAGGGTGAGGGACAGTCTATTCTCCAAATGCAACCACTTGATGTATTTTTGACATTCAATGTTCTTCAGGACTAATAAACAGCTTACACATATAAAGAAATAATCATGAAGATACGAAAACACATTCCAGAAGAAAAAGGCGGAGGCATACGCATCCTGAGAGGCGCCTTACCTGGACTGATGACCACCCAGCCGCCCCGCTCCTGCTGGTGCATCCACGCTCTCCAGCCTCGGGCACCCTTCTCGCCAACCCGGGGCTCCCCACTGTCCCAGAAGGGCTCAAAGAATTCCACCTGTTCAGGTTGAAAATATGGAGGTTAGCCTAAGTTGTACAAAACTGCTGAGTCACTGAGCAGAGTGCGTTCTGACTGGCCTAAGAGGGGCTCATGGCAGAAATCTTGCTCGCCATCAGTCTTCCTAGTAGATATGGGATACATCCCCAAAATAGAAAAAAATAATTACGTAGTGTGGTGGGCAGCCTCCAAAATAGCCTCCCAGGACCCTGACCCCTGCCCTGTGGCTTTCACACCCCTGAGCGAGGGCTGGACCCAGTGACTTACAACGAACACAATACGGCAAAAAGTGACAAGCTACCACTTCTGAGAACCAGTGACAAAAAGACCAGCCGTGGTCACCGAGAAGGGCCTCCAGCTGAGTGGGAGAGGAATGGTTTCCCAGCTCTGACCCTGCTGTAGAACAGTCTAACTGGGAACAGTGACACTGCCAGTTCCCTTAAAGCCACTGGGCCCCTGAATACCTGAAATCATGTTGCTTTCCAGGCCTTCTGTGGGGAAGGGGGTTGATTCAAAGTTTCAACAGGACAGCCTGGGAGCTCCTGATGGCATGACCTCTCAACTCTGTGTTCCTAACTGGCACAGTGCCCAATACATAGTAGGGACTCAATAAACGCTTGTCGGCAGAGAATGGCACATGGCAGGCATCTGGTGAAGAAAATGGCCTGCGTGTTAAAGCCAGGCCCTGGGATCACACCTCAGCTCTCATGCGTTTGGGGCATTAGGTCCGCTGTGTGTGGACCCCAGTTCAGTGCGGTAATTCCCCGTGGAAGAGAAGTGATCACAGCCACGAACAGGAGAGCAATCGTCTCGTCAGCTGACAATAAGGACTTTAAAAGTGAACCAACGACTTGCTCAATGGAAGCTTTTATAAGAAACGTTTTGAAGAGGACGAGGTGGCCCACGGCCCAGGAGCCGCAGGACCGTCCAGCCTGAGCCTGGAGGAGCACCACACACACCGGGAAGAGGGCTGGGTCCCCGCACCGAGGGCCCGTCAGCCGTGTCGGGAAGGGGAGCTGGGAAGACCACCCCCCTCTCCACGGGTCTTGTTCTTCCAGGAGGGATCGAAGAAAGTCACTCAAGAAAAAGAAGTGTATCTTTTTTTTTTTTAAGTGTGACGGTGATAACCAATTTATTCATCCCATTGAAACAGACCAGACTCTGCTTCTTTGATGTTATGCCGTGTACGGTAACGAGGTCTCTCAGTTATAAAGATATGGTACGTCATCAAAGAAAAAGCCTTATTTCAAAGTTGCCTTGCAAGTGCTTTGAGACTACGTGTGCTACTAATATTTAAAATCTCCAGAGTGTGCAACAGTGGACACTCTGGGCGAGTGGCTCTTGACGCTTCATAGTCCCGGGCAGTGCCCTCCCCACAAGTCGCCGTCCTCATCACAGACAGCGAGTGTCGGCAAAGGGCGGCAATGAGGGCCATTCCGATCCTGCCCCCGCAAGCACACACCCTGTGCCCCGCAGTCAGCTAAGACTCACGTCTACGGCACGGCATATTCCTAAAATAGCAAAGCACGTCTTAAAATAATGTTGTTATCCGGCTTATCATACTGCTAATCAGTTATACTAATATTAACCAATATTCTTTAACCCAATTTTGCCTAGGAAAAAACAGATCAAAATAATGATGATAAAAATAGTCTTCAAATGCAATTCATGGACATTCCACAAGATGGAGACCTCAGCCTCTCAAGACCTCTGTTTAAGTTCACCATAAATTCAGCTATCCTACCCATCTTCCACCAGAGCCCCTTCGCAAAGCAGGAAACTGAGATTTCTTCCAAGGAAAAAGGGAAAGGAAGGCTTTCTTATACGGCTCTGCGGTAGAATGTTTTTACTGCTTCAACATCACAAATATGGGCAATGTTCATGCGTCACCTAAATGACAACAGATCCCCCATTAGGACGTGTGTTGACAAACCACCACCAAGTAACAGCGTTTGCAATTCCCACGAAGATCTTAGGTGGTGGAAATGTTAACTGGGGAAACGACGTAAGACCGAATTTCAAATGCACGAAGGTAGGACAGAGTTAAGATGTGACTTCAGAAGCGTAACAATTGCTTCTCTGCCTGGTGAGGACAACGAGCACTGAAACAAAGCTCCTAAGAAAAAAGGGGGGGACATAGTGAGTCTTTATATGGGGCGGGGGGGGAATCCTTCATCTCTCCATGTTTCACCACCTTCATTATGGAATTTTCCTTGGATCACCACAATACTCTGAGAAATAATTCTCAGCAAGACTGATACAAAGGAGGACAGGATATTTGAAAAACACCAGCACCATCTCCCAGGATCCACACTTGCCCCCAGAAGAGAGAAGAACGGGAGAGGAAGGAGAGAGGGAGGTGGGCCACGCAACCAGAACCCCCACCTGTCCTTTGGTGGGCAGGTCTTTCACACTGTCGGGTTTGAAGAAGGTGAAGTCGACCATGGCCTGGAACAGAGAGACCGCCTTCTCAGAGTGACCAGCCTGCCGCAGGAAGTGGCATTGCTGAAGAAAGAGACCTGAAAACGGGGAGAGAAGGGAGACTCCTGTTAACAGCATCAAAGGGAAAGAACACAGCTTCTAAAGCATGCATTCTGGGGCTCCGGGGTAGCTCAGTCGGTTGTCTCCGACTCTTGATTTTGGCTCAGGTCATGATCCCAGGGTCATGGGATCGGGCCCCACATCGGGCTCTGTGCTCAGCATGGAACCTGCTTGAGATATTCTCTCCTTCCCTCCTTCCCTCCCTCTCTCTCCCTCTCTCTCTCTCTCTCTCATCACCCTCTGCCCTTCCCCCTGCCCCTCTTCCCCTCTCCCCCCGCCCCCTACCTTCCTTGTGCACACTCACTCACACTCTCTTTCTAAAAATAAATAAAAAACAAACAAAAATGTGCATTTCCACACCGAGAATATCTTTTCTCCAAATTTAGTTACTGTGGTAATTTCAAAGCTGTAATAACACATGTCCTTATTAAAAAGGATTCACAATGGTACTGTAATCAAATGATGTACATTTATCCCAATTTTTATATGAAACCATCGTGGAATACAAATACTGACAAAAACTACATATGTTATAGGAAAAGACGGCAAAAGGTTGGTCTGAACAGTTAATCAAATATTCAAAGCTCATTATGCCACGAAAAATTCTCGGGAGAGGATGATGTAGGTTGTCATCAGAAAGCAGAGAAGTGTGCCGAAAGCTAGATGGCAGTAACCATCGGCAGCTTTCATCATCTCTTCAGAGTCAGCTGTAAGCAAATCAGGGTTCCATGCTCGAAGACGTTGGTTTGTCTCAACTGTGGTACAATTCCATTTACTAAATACTACTAAGCTGTATGAGCATACCGCGAACGATATCAAACATGTTTATTATTTCTGGAGCAATATATTTCTATCTTTAGAAGGTAACAGAAATAGCAAGGTTTTGATCAAATAAATGCCTGCTGTGTGCCACACACTGAGCTGTCTCAGGTAATGTGCAGGTAATGTGCTCAATAACCCTCCAAAACAAGTACTATACCACTGGTGCTGAGGGAGAAACTGGCACTCAACCAGGTTCACGAACAGGCAAGGTTACCAGGGAAGGGCAAACCCAGGGTTCGAGTCAAGAGTGATATTCTCCAGCTCCTGCTTCACATGCTGCCTTTGGTAGCTCACTACTGGACACAGTTTCTATTCTAGCCTCCTTTGGGACACACCAGAATGGTTAACAGCAAAATAAGAGCTGCTGCTATGCAGGGGCGCCTGGGTGGCTCAGTCGGTTTAGCATCCACTTCCTGCCTGTAATAAGTGATCTCAGCTTGTGTGGTTCTGGCCCTGTGTTAGCCCCCAATGACAGCCTCCCGGGAGCCTGGAGCCTGCTTTCCCATCTCTGTTCTTCCCCCCCGCCTCACCGCCTCCCCCCACTCCCCCTCCAGACCCTCACCACGCCTACTTCAAAAATAAATGATGAAAAGAGGGGGAGCTTTTGGTGGCTCAGTCGATTAAGCATCCAACTTCAGCTCAGGTCATGAATTCCATGAACTCGTCAGTTCTTGGGTTTGAGCCACGCTCGGGGCTCAGGTTAGACCAGCTCAGAGCCTGGACCTTCTCTTCCCAGGTCGTGTTCCCCTCCTCTGTCTTCCTCTCTCTCTCTCAAATAAAGATAAAAAAAAAAAAAAAAAAAAAAAAAAAGAACTGCATCTACACAACGACCTGCAGTCAGCTGGGGCTTCCCCCTGAACACCACAGCCTGAGATCCTAGAGGCGGGACGGCCGACACAGACTCCAAGACAGAAGTACCAGGACAGCCAGAACACTGGTGGACCTTCTCTAGGTTTCCTCGGTTAACAAGCAGAAAGGCTGGAACTTCCAGACCAGTGATACTTCTCTAACTTTACTGGCTCTAATGCCCACCCCACCACCCCCCGCCCCCGACCAAGAAGCTGGAAAGGGGAACATCTGTGGTAATCACAAGGAATTCCAATACTTTCTTGTTTAAATCAGTTTTATCCATGTCGACACTTCTAAAGTAAAGCAAAACTAAGTGTTCATTTCTGACGAAAGCCAAAAGAAAGGAGAGCTCCCCCCAGACAAAGGGATCTGGTCCTCGGCTTCTTACCAAACATGGCGTCCTCGGTGCCTGGCAGGGCGGGGTGCGATAAGATGCTGCCGTCCTTCACGGCAGACAAGGTGCTCAAGCACTTGCCATACAGACCGTGAATTTTTGACACCGTAAAGGTGCTAAACTGGCTCTGGCAAAATAAAAGGTATTTCTGCCACAGGGCTGTATCGTTGGGATGCAGAAAGATCAGTTTCTGCCACTCTTTGGCCAGGGCGGAGGGCTCCCAGAACTCGGAGCAGAGCTTCAGCTTGGCGAGTTTCAGGTCCACGCTGCTCTGGTTGCTTTCGATGGCCCGCTCCAGGATGGCCAGCTTCTTCTCCAGAACGAGCCTCAGAGACCGCTTCCGCTTTTCCTGCTCTCCTTCCTCGATGGCATACAGGCCAGGGCTCTTTATGACCTCGTCCTCCAGACAAAAACATCAAGTTACAAATGCGAACGGCAGTAGGGGAGGCTCAAACGCTCACCGCCAGGACAGAGACGCTCACAGCCCTTCCGGGCCGCACCGCCCGTCACCTCTCAGAATCAATCGTTAGTCCTGCTTTCTTGATAAGCATTTATCAGTGTTTTGTTTTGTTTTGTTTTTGTCTTGAGTGGAAACTCTGCTACTGGGGCACCTATGTCACCTGGTATGTTTGATCTTGCGTTTATTTCCCTGTCTACGCTCCGGCATTTCAAACTTCGATCACGTATCAATAGCCAGGGTGCAGTATCTTGGAAACTGCTTCCCAAGAGCCAACTTTACCAATAAAACAGCCAAATGTGAGGCAAAATAGGATAATGGTACATGTGGTTCAGCAACAGAGAAGTAGGACGAAGACAAAGCCATGTACTTTGGGACGGGAGCAGCACAGCTCTGACCAGGGAATGGTGTGAACACCACCTTCTCCCCTGGACTCTGCGTGTTTTGCGCGCTGTCTATACCTCACGGGTACATCTCCCTGCCTGGTGAACGTCTACTCTTCTTTCCAGATTCGGGTCAGATTTCACCTTCTTCTGGAAGCCCTTTCTCACTCCCCAGTAGCAGGTCACTCCCTCATCCCACCCCCAAGTTCTGCACGGAAGCACGCGCTACCCCACACTGCATTTATTCAGTCTGACCAAGTTCAGGGCGAGGGCTCCAGTCTAATCATCCTCAAACGCCCAGTGCCAGGGCTCCTCCCAGGGGCTCGAAAACCGCGGCACAGCAAATCTGTTTTCCCCAAACTAGGACAGTCACTCCGGTAAGAGAACTGGGACGGCGACACTTACCTGAAAAGCAACAAATGCCATCCACAGCTGAATATCCCGGGGATTCTCCCGAACTCTCCTGTTAAACTCCTCCACCTTGGCCTTGAGCAGGGCATGCTCTCTGTCTGTCTGTGAGTCTGGCCGCTTTGATTCTTGCTCTGAAGGACCCTGTCCTTGTAACCACTGCGTGGTGGACTGATCGTAAATCCCCAGAGGGTTCAGCCAGGTCGTAACGGGAGGAACCACATCATCCGAGCCCTTCACTGGGATAAATGAGACCGGCTCAGATGAGGGAGGTTCGGTTTTACCGCCAACGGCGACTCCGTCAACGTTCATCAGTCCCACGCTCTTCTTCGTGAAATAGCGCTCGACATGCTTGTGTGAGTGCTTCTTTTCTGTGGCAGCCCCCTCCCAGGATATGCACTGCTTCTTAGGGTTAATGCCAAGGCAGGAGTCCCCTTTCCTCTTGTATCTTATATTTGAAAAAGAAAAGAAGACACCGAGGGCGTTATGTGCACGGCCTCTGCACAGGCGAAGGCTCAGCTCAGCAGACCTCAGCTCTCGTTAGACAAGTTAACTGCATGTATTCAAATTCACCTCACCTTCAAACTGTTTCTATTCAGAGAAATATGAGAATTAGCAATTAACTTTTTCTGTGTTTGACTTATTCCCCTAAACACTTCAATTCTTTGTTAACATCTCATGAATTTAAGATCATGCCTGTCCTCCAGATTCTAGTAATTTCTGTCTTCCTGGAGCTTTGTAAAGTACTGCCCCACACGTTTTGTCATCAGTCATCACAATCATACATACCCAGGCAAGGGAGAAATCCTCATCCCCTTTTACACCATTGCTAAGGATACTGAAACCCTGGGTGATAATGTGTCATCTGTCTCCTAGACCAATCCCTTTTCTTCAATGTGGTCCTGCATCTCCACTTAAGAAGAAAATGGAGAGGGCTAAAATTGTAGTTTTAGTCCTGAAACAAAAGTATATTGGACAAAGTTACATTTGGCTAGTTTCTACTCTAGGGGAAAAGAGTCTGGGTTCTAAAATGCTTTTATGGGACATGTAGATGTCCCCAGAATTACAAACACAGGACCACCGAGTATCTGCACAAAAGCTAAGGGAAAGTGTGCACTTTTCTGTACATATGTTATACAAACAGTCAAGTAAAAAATGGGCAAAAGATCTGGAAGGAATTCACCAAAGAGGACATGAATGGCCAATAAGCACACGCAGAACTGCTCAACACCATTAGTCATGACGGAAACGCAAGTTAAAACTACGAGATACACAGCATACCCACCAGAACTGCTAAAATTAAACACTGACTCTCATGTGCTGTTAGTGAGAATGTGAGTTGGTACAATCACTTCGGGGAAAGGTCTGTAAACTAAACTTAGACTTACCAACTGTGACCCAGCGATTCTATTTTAGGTATTCACCCAAGAAAAAGGAAACTGCATTTCTACACAAAGACTTGTGCTCAAATATTCTCAGTAGCTCTATTCATAACAGCCAAATACTGCAGAGTCCAGACGCTCAGCAATGAAAGAACAGATAAACAACGGTATGGCCACACAATAGAGGACGACCGGCAGCGAAAAGCAACGAAGTACCGATAAATGCCACAATGTGGCTGAATCTCCAAAACATCACACTGAATGAAAGGAGCCAGACACGAAAGGGTGCAGACTCCATGATTTCATTTAGACGGAATTCCAGAACAGGCAACGCTAGTTAATGATGGGGAAAAAATCAGAACAGCAACTGCCCCTGGGGAGATGGGGAGGGGACTGAATGGAAAAGAGCATGAGGAGACGTTCCGGGGTCACGTTAATGTTCTATATTTTCATAGGGGGCTGGGTTATACAGGTGTATCATGAAGATTTGTGTGTTACACTGTATGCAAATTTTAAGTCAAAAGAAAAAAATGAAACAAATCTTGAATGCTAGTTAATGACATGCATTCTGAAGCATGGAGGGGGCAGCATACTGATGCTGGCATCAAATGAACAAGGTGGGTTAGAGGATGGACGAACAGATAAATATGTGATCAGGCGAGGGCAGCAAGATGTTAATGGCAGAACGTAGAGGGTGGGAATATGAGCTTCTTTCAACTGGTGCTGTATTTTTTTTTTTTTTTAATTTTCGTTAACATAATGCTGTGGGGAGCAGCATGAGGAGGAGAGAGCTGCCGCTGTCTACTGTCCTCTTCCAGAAAAATCTGTCTCCACCATCTCCTGGTCGAGGCCCAGCAGCTCCTTTGCCTCCCCATAGTCAACAGGTGCCTGTGAAGCCTCCCTCACCGCTCACACACGCCCGTTCTCTTTATCGTCTCCCCTGGCTCCTCCTAGGTTACTTCCTGACGGTCTCTCCCCAGCCTAGTCCATAGAGTGGTCAAAACAATTTTAAGGTCTCCCCTTCATGACTATTTTGTTTTCACTAAAAATGAATGGTACTACGACATTCACATAATCTCTTAAAAAATGTTTACAGAGTTTTCTGATGTTAAAGTGCATTTTGTAAAACCGATTTTAAGAGCTGTACTTTATAACAGATGAAAATGATAAAGGAGAAGGAAAACAATCTTACTGATATATATCAAGTGCCTACTTTCAGATATGTGAAAATAGTTTTTTTTTTTTT